GATGAAGATGAAGATGAAGATAAGGATAAAAATCATAACCCCTTAACTTTAACTCATCTTAACTTAAAAACTTACTCCACCTGAGCTCACCACACATTAATTCACCACACTTTAACTCCCCACACCTAAATTCACCACACCTCAACTCGCCACACCTTAACCCCCGCACCTAAATCCACCACACCTAAATCCACCACCCTTAATTCACCACACCTCTACTTTCTCACCACACCTTAACTCACCTCAACTCACCACACCAAAATTCACCACACCTTAGTTCACCACACCTCAACTTTCTCACCATAACTTAACTCACCACACCTGAATCCACCACACCTAAATTCACCACACCGTAACTCCTACACCCAATTCCAGCACACCGCAGCTCACCACGCGCAATTTCACCACATGACATGATATCACTTGATGTGGCATCAAAGGCAACATCAATTGGCATAAAATGAACCAAAATAAATAAGATTTAGATAGAGGTGAAAAAAGGGATAAAAAGGAAATACAACTGAAGAGTGTGCGATGTTATATTGTGGTGTGTTATACCTCATATGTTATGTTATTTATTCTTATGTTATGGTTATGTTATGTTATACCAAGTACTAAGCTAAACTCCCCTCCACTTAACCCATTCCAACTAATGTTATTTTAGCTCATTCAACTTACATAAACTATCCTTAATTTTATCGGTTGAATTTCAACCGCTGGGCGAACACTAGTAATTTTAAAGGCATATAAATACTATTTTAATTGCATCGAGTACGAACATAATGGGTGTTTTTAAATAAAATAAAAATGGATGGTTCAAGAACTATACGGAACCTATTTTTATATTGTACTCGACCATAGCTACAACCTTTTATAACGTTAGTTAACAATTAAAGAATATAAAATATTTATGTAATATTTACATATGTACATGAAGTATTCGAAAAACTTTTAGTCGCCCCAATTATTATTATTTGTATATTTTTTTTTAATTTGAGCTAATAAAAATATAGTTCATTCTTTAACGAAAGCCGTATAAATCCAAGATTCAAACTTTGAGCAATATTTCAAAAAAAGTCCATACAAAAAAATTTCATTAAAATTTCGAGCTTTTTATTGGATTTTCTAGAAAGATTTTCAGTGTGAAGTTTTGTAGCCCACTCAATTCTAGAAAAACAAAGTGCAAGTTTCAGGTGGTTAAAAATTTTCGTTTTAGGATTTTTTCGCCGAAGTTGTTGCGGTTTTCTTCCACATAAAATTAAATTATGTTTATTCGTTATATGAAAGCAAATGCGACAAAGAAACTTCTAAGAAATCAAAGGTTGTTTTAGCCATTTCAAACTTTATTCTGCTGGAATTGAACGAGCTGAAATTCCCCACAAAAACGGCCCATTCCCAACACAAATTGAAATTCCCCGCAAATCGGGAAATTCTCCTCGAGTTGGATTCCCCGCTGCACAATAATAAGTAATTTTTAGATTGTTTAGCCGAACTGCATGCAGTCCACATTCTCGACTTTTTCTGCTATCTAAAGTGCACCCAGTGGTTCAACTTCGAAGCGAAAGATGGAAAAAAGTGGCACCACCAGTGGTATCAACGGGCTTTTTCAATCCATGTGCGCTTCTGTGCTCTCGCGTGCTAGCAGTTACTCTTAACTGACTTAGCTTATAGCATATGCACTCCCTACTCCCTACAACTTAAACTTTCTTAAGGATTTAGGCTAAGAGGAGGTGTTGTCAAAGGTGGAGGCCACAATTGTTGACTAGGTGGCGGCGAACACTTCTTATTAAAAATTTCAAGCAGACTTGAATTGTAAAGTTTTCAATGTCCACGGCAAACTTATGACTTTTGATATAAATAACAAGAAACTTTGGAATGCATTAACCTATGGACACGTATGTATATATGAACAAGTATTATAAAAAAATTTCATTTATTTTAAGTTAATGCACTAACAAAAGTTTTTTTGTTTATTCTTCCACTAATTAGTGCACTCGAAATGCAAATTATCTGAAATAACCAATAAATAAATACCGATGAACGTACTAATATGTTTATAGTCGGGCATTTTTATGCATGAAAGCGATTTACTAACGATCATTCCACCGCAAGTTTCGCTTTAATTGAACTCATTAAAAATATAAAATATTCACACAACTGACCACAACCGGTAAACTGTGCAAAAATAAGTGATTAAAAACAATAAAAATGTCAAGATATTATTTGCATTTGACTGGGCTGTGTGTAATTTATTGCAAACTTACCGATCAACCGAGATGCAGCATAAATGCAAAATACTCGCGGTGGAAAAGTAAACATCCAGGCTGTTGTATACATTGCACATGAATCGACCGAACATCCATTTGCCACCAGACAGCTCCACTATCGCATTAAATGTCATCGCACAACATGCCACCAACAAGTCAGCCATGGCTAGCGAGACGACGAAACTATTTGTGATTACACTGAAACGGATATATAGAAGAATAAGTTGTATGTAAATTAGGGTGGTCCAAAAATGCATGTGATAAAGTAGAGTCGGAGTTTTTTTGCTCTCACCCCCTGGGATTGTTCCACAAATACCGAAAAAATATATCCCTATTTTTATACCCGAGCTCACTTGTGCACAAGGGTATATTAATTTTGTTCACATAACGGTTGTTTGTAACAGCCAAAACGAATCGAGATAGATATAGACAAATGTATACATAAATGATCAGGATGAAAAAAGAAATCGATTAAGCCATGTCTGTCTGTCCGTCCGTCTGTCCGTCTGTCCGTCTGTCCGTGTACACGATAACTCGAGCAAAAATTGAGATATCTCAACGAAATTTGGTATGTACGTTTCCCTTCATCCAAGGTAGGTTGGTATTGAAAATGGGTGAAATCGGACTGTAACCACGCCCACTTATGGTTACATGTGTATATCTTAGGAACCGCTGCACCAATTTCTTCCAAACTTGGCATAGTTGTTGGCCTTGGTACAGCATACAAAATCGCCGAAAATTTTTAAAATTGGACGATAACCACGCCCGCATCCCATATAACGGTTATTTAGAGAAATACAAAATCTTCGATAAATCAGTAAACATTAAAGCTAATTTATTCAAAATTGATGCTTGCAACAATTCTTTACCAAGAAATACGTTTATGGTAAAATTTTGGAAAAGGGCGGGGCACCGCCCACTTATGATCACATATATGTATATCGGTAACCGTTCTACCAATTTGTACCAAACTCGGTGTGGTTATTGTGCTTGCCACATAAAAGCAAAGCGTTGAAAATTATTGAAATCGGATTAAAATTACGGCCGCTTTTCATATAACGGTAAATTTCAGAAATGCTTGAAACTTTAATATTTCGAAATTGAAGGACGCTAATTTACTCAAAATTGATACACCCCGGCTTACCATCTAGCGGTAGGTTTCGGAAAGGTGAAAAAACATATATTTAATATTTGCGCCGGGTATTTAATGTTCGGCTCCGCCCGAACTTAGACTTTCTTACTTGTTTATTTTGAAATCAAAAAATATTTAGAGATCACTCAAGCTTTCAAAATTTTCCATGTACATACTTAATTTATATGGGAAAACACCGTAGAAATGGTATAGAATTCTTAAAAATCAATAGTTT